TAGCAGTTTTAGTGCAGCTTTCCGGTACCAAGAGAGATGAAAACCTTCAGAGACCAGTTTCCAGACCCTGAGATTGGCCATTGAATTGGACAGCTGTTGGCAACATCACTTGACTTTGGAACATTTACAGTTGCATCAGGCTGCTGTGTAACTCACTTTTTTTTCACCGAGGGGTAGCACAGTGGTGTAGTGGTTAGCACATCTGCCTTGCAGCACTAGGGGTCCCCGGTCGAATCCTGCTGCTAGGTTAATTGGCTCCTGTCTCAATTGGCCCTGTATGTATGTATGTGAGATATGGACCTTAGATTGTAAGCTGCTTGAGGGCAGGGCCTTGATGGAGCTATATTATTACCTGTAATAAATAAAGAAACAGGATTGTTATCTGTGTAGGCTGCAAAGATCACCAAAGTGCAATGCAGCGCATTGGAAAAAAAAAGTTGTTTCCTGCGCTAATTGTTTGCTATAAAGCGCATTTTCATACAGTTTAGTGCACAGCGAAGGCCAGGTTATATGTCTATGCTGACTTTTAATTCTGATTATTGTTAGGCTATGTTCACATGCTGTATATGCATATCTGTGCATACATGCTGCATCTTTGATGCCGTTTCTAGCAAAGCAAATCTTTCAAAGTGGTGATGCATGTCAAGCATGCCTACAGTGCACCACTCTGATCGCACTGCAAGTAAAACACTGAATGTATCCTAAATCTTACATTAGACTGGCAGTGCAGACCTGTGTTGTATTGCAGCCTGTTAATATGGTCCTATTCTTTTGTCACTGTGCAATAGAATGCTTATGGAAATCATTCAAATAATGCCTGTTGTTCTTAAGCTACCTCCTGCAGAACTGACATGCATGTTTTCATTTACAGTTTTAGAGAGAGCTGCTGCTGACTCAAGATACAGTGTCTCTGCCACTATCATGACAGATAGCAGTGTTAGACAAGACATTCAAACCATAACTGAACACACAGCTAACGAGAAAGAAGGTAATGTATCCCTGAAAATAAAGCGTGTATATGCCTTTTGGCTCCTACATATATGCCCAGTTCAGTATTATGCATACACCTTTGCTGCCCACTTTTTGTTCTAATTGGGTTTTTTTTCGGTTTTTTTTTTTCATTTTGTTAAATATGGTCTGTATGAAAAGCAAAAATAATCCCCAAATCTCAGTTATAGCCTCCAAACTTTATTTACTCAGCCATCTGATGGGTGACTATAGAAAAAATGGCTTCTGAAGCTCTGCCTCATGCAAATTCTGCTGAACTGGCCACAATTCGAGCTGTGGGTGGCCCTGCCAGCATCACCTGGTTCAAAATGTTCAATCAACTTTTGTAGAAGCAGACAAAATATCACCCAATTAGTGCCTGCATCCAGTCAGATGTAGGCACTGTTCGGGTATTCTGACAGCGTTGGGCACTGGCTATACAAAATACAATAGCCCAGTTGGGGAGATTCATACATCCACAATGTTTAGTGTGGATAGAAGAATCTTCTATGGTCCGCTTTAGTCACCTCTCCTCATCTCATCTAGTCTGCAGTGAACAAGCAGCACATTGATGAGTTTATCACTGTACTGTGAGAAGTGACCCTTCCCCACCCAGTCTGAATGCTGTTGTGCAGAGAATTACTAAAGACCAATATGAAAACTGACCCTTTCGTTGTGGAGAGTTACCAAACTTGTATTGTATCCAGCACCCTACCTCTACATCTGACTGAATAAAGCAAATTGGCATTGTGGGACACTAAATAACACGTTCAATGGTTTCATTTTGCATTGTAGCCACAGGATGATTTGCACTTGTATATTTAAGTGCTACTCTGTTTTATAGCCTCGGCAAAAGACCCTGTGAAACCAAGTGGCCTTCTCAATGGATCAGAGGTGAGCGACCTGTCATCTGTAAACGCCATGATGTCAGCAGTGATGAGCACAGCTCATGTTGTGGAAAATGGGGAGAATCTCCAGAACACTAAATCACCAGGGAAATGTCAACCTTCAAACCGAATTGGCAGAAGAAATCAGGTAGGGAAGGTTTGTCAAACCATTAATTAATTCTTGTCAAATGTACAAATGTTTAACTTTCTACTGTAACGTCAGGCTTCTAGATGATCATGTAGCTGTCCATAGTCCGAAAAATGTGTTGTACCTATGAATGAATTTCTATGTGTCCAGTGAAGCGTAATTTAGTAGCTTTAATAGAGAAATTTGATGGGATATTATCTGTGTTTTGATGTAAAATTGCAGTAAATCTGATGAACTGCCGGAGACTGTTTAGCCCCATAGACTGGAAGGTTATCAATAGTCCTATTCAGTGAAGTGTATGGGCACACTTTGCAAGTCAGCTGATAATACAAAACAGAACACAGTTATCATATGTGTTCATTAGTAAAACTAATAGAATGGGTCATTCTTGGGGGTCTCTGTCAGGGACTTCATGAAAAGCTACATTTTGTTTGTTCCTTGTGAAAAAAAGAATAATCACTAACCACACAGTTTCGCTGTGTCTGTCATTTCCTAAATCCTGCATATTTGGTTAATCCATAGTGCTTCTTTTATCTATTTAATGGCATAAAAGCACCTTTTTTTCTTTCCTGCTTCTCTGCCATTTTCTTGTAGCAGAACCGTCTGTAGTAACACCCAGCATCTCCCATCATATTTTCACTGTGCTGGCATTAGAGAAAGTTTGGTCCTTTGTTAATGATAAACTCCTGTGTAAACAGCCATCTGCTGCAATGGCCTAGATTATGTGCCATTCTTCACTTCAAGGTGAGCCAGTTATTGCTCTGTCTCTAGCTAACATGCTGATGTAAAGGAAAAACTATCCCAATAAATACATAAATCTGGCCATGGAATATGCGCAGAAAGTTAAATGATTGTTTACGCTGCTGAAGAGAAATCTGGCCACGTTTTTTCCATAAATGATTTTGTTAATAAAAGTGTTTTTTATACATTTTTGTTTGTTTTGACTTATAGTACTTGAGAATTCCACGTGCCAGAGCAATAGTTTAGTAGAGTTGGTCGTTTTCTGTGAGCTAAAAACACATGAATTGCTGTTTCACAGGAATGCTTCCACTGGGAGGCAGTGTTTCACAGCAGGCTTGGGGATGGCCGGGAAAAGGACAAATCTATGAGCGGGTTTAAAAATATAAAGTTGTGTGAAAGCCTCTAACTTGCTGACTGCAAGTCCCGGCAACTAAGTATTCATTTTTATACTATCAATTACCAGTTTTACTCCCTTGCATGTAAAGGTTCTTGGAGGGAACTCATACTTGAGGAAACATGTAGGATGCAGTTGCTGAAGTTTTGCTGACTGCAAGTCCCGGCAACTAAGTATTCATTTTTATACTATCAATTACCAGTTTTACTCCCTTGCATGTAAAGGTTCTTGGAGGGAACTCATACTTGAGGAAACATGTAGGATGCAGTTGCTGACCTCTCCAAATTAAAGTGCTATTGCCTGGTTTTAATGATAATTGAATTACTTCAATAGTGCGAGAGACAACCAGGCAAATAACGGCTGTCAGCGATGGCATCCTCCATGTTATTTTCAGTACATGTGTACCATAAAGTAGTAAAGGTTCCGATAGATTTTAGAGCAGTGTTAGGCAAACTTCACTGACCAGTGTTGTGTTTTTTTAGCATTTTTTGATGTTTATACTATCAATGTGTCTTCCAATTGGTGTGATTTTTTTTTTTTTGATTTTTTTTTATTCAGGAATCTAAGGAGGAGAAGTCATCATACATATGCCCACTGTGTGAAAAAGTCTGCAATTCACAGCACCAACTTACTATGCACATTCGTCAGGTACTGTACCACTGCAACAACACCATGTGTACAAAGCAACAAGACATTTAGCTCATAAAAAATAACAAAATGTGTTTTTTTTAAATCTATATGTAAAAAAAAAATGCATGAAACATTTAACAATTGCATCCTGTTATTTTTACATGTTACATACCTGTATGCTGGGTAATAAGCAAGTGTAGCACTTACAGATACTTATTACGTTTCATAGAGATCACAGTTCTCCCCCTAACATCTGCCTTTACCACCAGATAACTGGTGTCATCTTTGTTCAGCCATCACCCAAGATCACCTTCACTTTCCTTGACTAAGCTGGATATACGCTGTTGGATTTATTTTTTCAGGTAGAATGGAAAAAAATCTAAGCGATTCCTCCATCCACGCTAAACAGTCTGGATGGAGGAAACTCCAACTGCAGCTATTGTATTTTGACAGTTTGACTCGCTAGCTGTCAAAATACTTGAAAAGTGCCTGCATTTGATTGGATGCAGGCTTTGTTCGGCCGACAGTTTTCAGCTCGGCTTCTTCAATTTTTCAATTGAAGGATGCCGACAAAGGCCAACCTACTGAGCGAATTTTGAACGATTTATCAAGAACCGATCAAAATTAATTCAGTATATAGTATGCTTTATTTGTTGGCACAGTGACAATACATTCATGCAATTCCCAGTGCCTGTTCAGTAGGCTTCACGTTCGTAGCTTTGTATATACAGATTGTTTCACACAGTCCTGTACCTTTTTTGACTCTCCATCTTTGACCAACCAGTGTAAAAATCCATCACAATCACACATTTTTGTTACTATGCAGCATCTTATGCCAGTGCAAAAATCCATCACAATCAAACAGCTCAATTCCTATGCAGCATTTATGCCAGTGCAAAAATCCATCACAATCACACAACCCAGTTTCTATGTAACATCTCACACTACCAGTGTAAACATCCATCACCATCACACAGCTCATTTCCAGTGCAACATCTCATCCTGCCAGTGTAAAAATCCATCACATTCACAGAGCTAAATTCCTATGCAGCATCTAATCTTGCCAGTGTAAAAATCCATCACATTCACAGAGCTAAATTCCTATGCAGCATCTTATCTTGCCAGTGTAAACATCCATCACATTCACACAGCTCAATTCCTATGCAGCATCTTATCTTGCCAGTGTAAAAATCCATCACAATCACACAGCTCAGTTTCTATGTATCATCTTATCCTGCTAGTGTAAAAATCCATCACAATCACACAGCTCAGTTTCTATGTATCATCTTATCCTGCTAGTGTAAAAATCCATCACAATCACACAGCTCAGTTTCTATGTATCATCTTATCCTGCTAGTGTAAAAATCCATCACAGTCTAGCACAGATCAGCTCCCTTGCTGCCTCTTGTCCTGTGCACAAAATGCACAAAAAAGAAAGATCACTAAAGCCAGGCGTACACCTATTTAATTTTGGCAGGTTCCTGATGAACCAGCTGACATTCGCACAGTGGGTGCCACTGCCAGCACCCTTCCACCCGACATCCCTTGATCAGCCCGATCGAAGGAGCCAGTTGGAAAATTCTCAGCCAAACTGAGCTAGCAGTCAGCCAGCTGCTAGCTCCGTTCAGGTGTTTTGACAGCGGCCGCTGTCAGGATACAATGCAAACAGCAGGGAATTTGTGTATCAACACTTGTAAGCGTTGACGGAGAAATCTGTTCTATTTTTTTCATTCAGCCTGAAAAAAATTAGACACGTGTATACCCGGCTTAAGGATGGGGAGACTGAGTATATTTTTCTTCCTCCCTACAACAGACTCAGATCGTGACATTCCTCCAGTATGTTTCTCTGTGGCAGACCTTGAGAAGACGGTGCATAGACCTGTTTGTTAATGAGAAAAAGCATAGTTCATTAAAAACAAAAAGTACTGTTTTTGTATACCGGGACATGTCAGGATTGTATAGATTCAGACTTGTAAAGCTACTGCTACTTCCACTTTAAAATTGATGGCTCTTAGAAAGTATTCCTGTTGACTTGGATACTGAGGGAGGATTATCTGGATGGGGATTTCTCTTCTGCCTCCAGTTTGTGTATTTTATTATACTATAAAACAATCCTAGAACATAAAATAGACTGTTTTTTTTCGTTTTTTTTCCTACAGCACAACACTGACACTGGAGGCACCGACCATAGCTGTAGTATATGTGGGAAGGCTCTCAGCTCAGCAAGTTCACTTGACCGCCACATGCTTGTCCACTCTGGAGAGAGGCCTTACAGATGCTCGATGTGTGGGCAGTCCTTCACTACTAATGGGAACATGCACAGGTGAGTGACGGAAGTGATGAAGGACGTGCCATAGAATAGCTGCATGGGCACGCTTGAGCTGCGTAACCTTTTAGCTACATCCTGGGAAGTTCTTTGTCTAGTTTGAGATGTAACCCAGTACTCGGGCTTAACTGCCAAGCACAACTTGACTACTTGATTTTGGTTGTAAAGCTGCAAAGAAATGAACAAGGATAACCTAGGAGTGCCAAAATGTCTTATATATGTGCCAAAATGAACACAATCCTCAGAAGTGTCTGTCAGCTATGAAACAAAAGGAGAGTGCAGAAAGGGCAAAGAACTCAGACTGAACTAGTAAAACATGTACAGCTAAACACACATTACAATTTAATTGTACCGTTTCCGTTCGATTCACCTACAACGGTGTAAAGTGAGGGCCTAGCTGACTGATTATGAAGTGAATTGAGTAACCTAGGCTATCACACTACATAATTGCTGGTATTATAAAGACTTGGTCACACCATCTCCAGACCGGATCTGGATGCAGTGGCGGTCGTGTGTGTTTTTGATGCATTCCGGTGCAGTTTTTTTCTCAATTGAGTGGGTTCCAGTGTGTTCTGGTGCATGCTATTTTCTGCATTCCACACCAGAAATAAATGTGACATGCTCGACGTTTTTTAAAACTCTGGAACTGGTGTGAACTACACTCACACAAAAACCATGTTTGGTCTGTCTCTGATCTGGAGATGGTGTGAACAAGTGCTAAAGGAGATTGTACAAGCAATTTGTAACTCACGTAACCAGTTTATGGTGACCACACACAAATTATATATTGAATTTAATAAGGATTGAATAAGAACATTTTTAAGGATTGTTTTACTTTTTTAGTTCTAATTAGACCTTAAAGTCAATTGAATATTGATTACATTTTAATATACTAATTGAAAATTAGAATATTAATTGAATATAAATTAAATTATTTAAAAATGTGTGGTTTTTTTCCTTGTGATTTTTCATTTACAAAAACACTGAAATACTTAATATCATTGAAAAGGAATCCCAGATCAGATCAATCCTCTCGATCAAATCGAATTGTTATGGGTGTTATTCTGCCAGTACATTTAGCAGTGAACTAAACAGAATAGGAGTCTTCGTTCTGGCTCCTTTATGCTTTGTCGTGTATAGTATGTATAGCACTTTGCAGATGTCCTGCAAAGTGCTACTAGTTTCCTCACAATTGCTTTATTTTTATAGTTTGCATTGTGCAATTTATTGGCTCAAAACATAAGGGATTACCATGTGCTTGGACAATATTACTCACAATCTGTACTGTTGCTGCAAGAGCTCTATCCCTTTAAGGCTCTAATCATTGGAGTTTTCCGCACAGTGGTAACTCCTCCAGAGGTGATTTCAGGTGAATATATGTGCTTAGTACAGTGTTATTGCCAACAGAATAGCTTCTGCTCTTTTTCAAGATTTGAAAATGCCCATCTGTCCATACTGTATGTACTATCTCTCAGAATGCAGATCATTATTTTTAATGGCTTCTAATATCCTCCTTATTTTCCTATTTACATACCTAAAGTTAGAATGATGATTACTGATTGCAAATGTTTTTGATACAGTGTATGCATACAAATATGGGTTGAATTAGTTTTTTTCTGTATGCATAAGACGTTGTTATTAAAATGGCAACATAACATGTTAGACACATCTGAAATGAATCGTAAAATTCTTCAGTCCTCCATTGCCAGTTGCACGACCGGTGCAATGTGATCTCAGCCAATGGAGAGCAACTGTGATCAGGCAGCCATTGATTGGGCAGCTCGACCTGGACATCACTCACACCTACACTATAATCTAAGAAAATGCTAAAGACCTCTGAAAAGTAAAGTTCTTCTATTCTACAGTACCAATCACATGGTTCATGTATTCTTTGTTAGGTGGGATTGGGAGAGTAATGTTCAGGAACAGCAAGCCAATAGACCTCATTCAAATGGCAAAAATGTGCCGTTTGTGGCAAGAATCCAGCGGATCCCTGCAGCTGGATTCATGGTAAATGCGGATATTTGTGGCCGCTGAGCCTGTACAAAGCAATGACAAGCCAGGCTGACAGTGGTCACAAATATCCGCCTGTGTTTGGATGTAATTGCACATGGAGCTCTTGGATTGGATCTGGGTTCTGTTCATGAAATATATAATCTGCTCGAGTTGTTATAGTCTGTACTATACCTACGTACAATAATTTGTGACTAATAGAAAACTATATGATATCCACAATACGTATTTCAAAATGAGTTTTGGTTTTAGGTGCAACACCTTCCAGATTTTTCCAAGAACATGTATGGTCAAATCTGCTTGTCGGATTAAATGACCAGATCTGCAGGGCCGGATTTACTCCCCCTGCCGCCCCAAGGCCATGTTCCACAATACAACGTAATAGAAAGTGAACCTTGGGCTTAGCAGGGATCAGCAGTAATGTTCTCATCATTCAGGTTGTCATGCATCTCTTCACAATTGTAAGGTACTGCCTGAGACTTCACCTCAGCTCACACAACACACAGGAAAAAAAAAAGTGACTGCAAACTTGTCTGACCTGTTTTACTGAGCAGGCTGGAACTCGCAAACAAAGCCGGATCCTATTTCACTCCCCCTCTGCGTCTCCAACTGAAGAGATTTTTTTGTTGTATTGATGTATTTAGAGGAGCATCATTGTGTGTGCTTGGGTATCAAACCAGGTCTCATCCATCCTCTACTACAGTACATGTGGAGACAAGCACCATTCTTAAGAGCTTCATTGGCAAGCTTTTCTGCGATCTTTCACTGAGCAGATATATATTTTCCTTGTTGCTGTCCAGCAGAGTCTCTGGCTTAGTATCTTAGCATGGTGTGTTTGGGATTTTGATTACTAGGTGCTTTTATTTACTCAAACGTTCTTTCTCTGCCACTGACATAATTAACCCAGCCGTGTTAACTGTTTTTAAAGCGTGTTCTTAAAGGAGACATTTAGGGCTCACTCAGACGAGCGTACACGTCCGTACAGCATGCATGCCCAAAAAAATGACCCCCTCCCTATGGAAGGACATGGCTGCATGCAATTACACGTGGTCACACTTTAACCCGAACCTGTCTGCGTCCAAATGCGGACACCTGGACCCACACGTATGTGCAGGTTCTGGTGTGCATGTGACCGCAATTGTAATTGCGTGCCAGCTGCGTCCTCCCATAAGGATGAATAGGTTGTTGCGCACAATTACACGCAACACTTGTCCCTTCCCGACCAGGTCATTTTACGGGTGTGCACGCTGCACAGACATGCACGCCTGTCTGAATGAGCCCTTAGAGAGAGTGAGAAACAAAGTAGCTGCCATTACTGCCTTCTGGTTCTGCAAATGCAAGTTGCCTGGCTGTGATCCTGACATATTGGCATAATTCTGAGTCCATGATTTGGGACAAGTATGCAGATACCTGCTCGAATTTTGTCCTACTCCTGTGGACATGTCTGAAATTCGGGCTGTAGGTGGCCCTCCTGGCACCACTCTGTTCAACATAAGTACATTTTTGTCAAAGGAACTGGGTGGAAATTTGTCAGCTGAACAGTGACTGCAGCCAGTCGGAGGAAGTCATTGCCCGGGTATTCTGACAGGCTGCAATACTCTTGTGAAGAAGATTCTCCCATTCACTGTTTAGCGGGGATGGAAAAAATCGGTCCTGCAGGCTGTACAAAGGAAAGCTTTGCGTGTATGGCCAGCCCTACTCTAACTGTTCTGATTTTGTATACTTGCTCAGGGTCAGCAGTGCAGAAACTACTGGAGTCAGAGGGTCAGTCAGGCAGCTGGGCATTTTCAGAAAGAGATTATTCCCCATATTTGCTGCTCTTTGGAGGAGTGATTGAAACTGGGGGATAGAAATAAGTTACAATTCTAACCAATTCTGGCCAAAGAGCCCAGTGCTGCTTGGCTGCCCCATTTTGATGGACCAGCCCAAAAATGTCTAAATGACAATGCTCTTTGTTTCTTTGGCCAGTGGAAAATAGCATCAGATTTCTCTAAAACAAGCCTTTGATGGGTGCTTGTGTACATTTTATACCATTAAACTTTTTACTCGAATGCTGAACAATGACACTGTTGCAAGGTGGTACTACTGTAAGCATAATTGGTGATTGGAATGTGCAAGGGCAAAGGTCAAGCCTGAGCATGTCAATTTTTAATGAATGTACTGCACTGCAACACAGTAGTGTGATCTACTTCCCGTGACTTCATTTTATGACCGTTCAGTAGTTTTTTCTGCAGTGGGAACATCCACTGAACCACAGGAATCTGTGAACAGACCCTAGAACCCACAGTTCCATACAGGTGGAAGAAAGGGTATGGTTCCTCTGTGCAGGGATTAGTATACATAATATATTTTCATGCTTGGATGCAGCGTGTAGGAGGCTGATTCAGCCTTGTTATTTCGCTGCCTTGACTCACAAACGCCAGTGTGCCGTTTCTGCTGCCTGACTGAAATCCTTTCGATGCCTGACACTGGGGCCTGTCTGAGGCTGATCACTCATTACAGGGTTTTGCAATCCCACAGTTGCTTAAGGGGGGAGCATGACTGTACTCGCTGCTTTTCATCCACTCTGAGATTCTTTAAATCATTTCATTTCACCGGTGGAATAGCTCTGCCTTTCTATTACTATACACATGACTATAGTCTTCTTTTTTACAAATCACTTTTTGAACTATGAAGGAGAATCAAAACAAAGGTGCTAAATACATTTATGCCATTATTATTAAAGTGATACTAAACTCAGGAGTTAAATCTTACAAATACATTCAAGTATCTGAACTATTAAAGGAGAACTATGGGGTCAGTGTTTTTCCCCATAGTTCTCCTTAGGGTAACGGGAGGACACAAACTAGACTCCCGTTACCCTAAGCTCAGTATACCGCGAGCTACAGCTCGCGGTATACTGAGATGCCGCAGCCGGAGCGGATCACAACTTTGATGCCGGGATCCGCCCAGTTGCGTGAGTGACAGCTGGCTCTGACTATCTAGAGGCAGAGCCAGCTGTACCCGCCCCCTCCCCCGTCCGTTCCGAAAGTCAGCGCTGGCAGATCGGAGCGGGGAGAGGGGAATCCAGCCCCTCCCCCTGTCACGGCAGAGAGCCGCGACAGGAACGAGTGGCGAGCGAACCCGGTATGTGTTCGCTCACCTCCCAATCTACTGAGCCGACCTGTGACATTGTCATTGTCACAGGTCGGCTAGAACTATGAGGTGAGTGAAAAGCACTCACCTCATAGTTCTCCTTTAACAAAAATGTATCTTCTTTGTGTACCACTCAGCTGTTGATCCTAAAATCATCTCTGAATTGGTGCTGACACTATCCTTCCTTCTGGAGGGTGGCTACTTTTGTCCCCGTGGTCCCTGTGTGTGTTGTAAAGTAGTCACCACTCCAAGCTCACTCCTGTGATGGACTGCAATCGCAATACAAATCAGTAAATTAAATGTGAGATTGTAGTCTATCATGGGAGCGAGCTTGGAGCTGTGGCTACTTTACAACACACACAGGGACCATGGGGAACAAAAAGTAGCCACCCTCCATTTTGAAGGTTTACCTCCTAAGTTTAGTGTCACTTTAAATGTTTGGGTTAGTAAATTTCCACAGTTTGATCATGAAAGTGCTGGTTGCTCTTTTTAGAAATTCCCCTTTTACTATATTGTGGGGAAAATTCTGACCACTTTAGTAGGCTTGTTGGGTCATCCTGGAGTAAGTTCTAGAGTGTGGTTTCTATCTAAGGGCCCAGTTACACTTTGGCACTTAAAAACACATGGGCAATGCTAAGTAATTTATAATGCCCCATGGTGCATCAAAAAAACAATTAATGTGTGTGCATTTTAATGCATACTTTATTTGTTATGCTTTTTTTTTTCCTGGAGGAGGGAAATGCATAGCCGCATGCATGAAAAAAAAACAAATTTTTTTGTGCTGTATCTTTCATTTATATGGAATGTGAGATTTCTAGATTGTAAGCCCTCAGTGGCAGGGCCCTCCTTACCATCTTGTCTTGATTTGGATTGTGATTGTAATGTCTTCCCTATATTGTAAAGCGCTGCGCAAACTGTTGGCGCTATATATATCCTGTATAATAATAATAATTCCTGGGAACCTCAGAGAAACAGCAGCATTTTATTAATACTTTGTATCTCACAATCTCTCCCTGCACATTAAGGTACAGTTGTAGATGCAATGAGGTGTGCCTAAAGCAAAGAAGTGTAAATGGTCCTATCAAGGTGTGAAGTGTAAATGGGCTATCAAGGGCAGTCACTAAGTCTTAATGTCGTAACCTGCACTATTATGCACAGAGACATATTGATGTCTGTGACCCACTGCACATGTTTTGCGACATTTTGCTCAACTGTGCAGTAATTGTGTCGCGTTATTTTATGACCTCCAAACTGTTGCATTGTCTAGAAGTCCTCCTGAGCACGTCTTAAAGTAGTGCAAACATTATTCAGCTTCAGACCCCCAAGTCAGCTAAGCACTCCAGGGATACTCAGCTCCCTTCCAGAAAGTGTGCGGCAATTTAGAGACACTTTCCTTAGGAAGGCATTTAGGAATGAGAAACATAAACTAGGATAATAAATCTGTCACTATATGCAGTAGAAATCAGGGATGCAACAGATTCAAAGATACTGATGACGTGGCCAGATTGATAAATGTCCTCCAAACAAATTGGTAAACAATGTATTCATTTATTTAATATTCTATCATATGGGATTTGGTGACCTTCACCAGGATATGTTAAGTAATGGTACATGCTGCAATAAAGTTTGAGTTTTTGAACTCCATAAAATTATTTGCATATTCATTTTTTCTTCCAGAAATACCTTCTGTATTATTGCTGGTTGATAACTATCTTATGATCAACAACTGCACACACAGACTAACTCAGTTTGTGGGGGAAAAAAGTCAGAATCCATATTTTGCCAGTGAAGATCTTCGCCCCAAAGATTCTATGAGTCAAATGACTCATTATGAGTCATTATGGTCTATGGGGAGCAGTTTGAAGCTATTAAAGAAATGAGGAGTTATTCCAGAAACAGATTTGATAACAAGATAGGATTTGATAGGAAGACAAACTTGGATCTCTCTTATGACGATACCCAATTGATTTGTAAAATAGAGGCTCTAATCATGTACATTTCTGAATGTTGTATTTGGATGTCCTGTTAAAGAATTACTCCTTAGTTTCCCCTCTCTCAAACAACTTCTTTTTTTCTTCCTCTGTTATGTTTTTATTGCTGTCTTTGTCCTTACTGGAGAGGTTTCCTTTAATTTTTTGTTATCTGTAGAAAATGTGAGCAGAATCTCTCTAGTGGGGACATTGACAACAATTAAAACACTTTTGATGAAAGTGGGGAAGAATTAGAGCCTACATTTGAGATTTCCTCTCTTGCTGTTGTGTTACCAGGGTGGGACATTTAACCACTCCATCCAATAAAAAAGTTTTTAGCAGGAGTTCTACCCCAGTTGGGTTATAAGCTCCCAGCACAGGGAACTGAATATCGTAGTTATAGCTGTATACCTTATTGATAATCTTTTAAACTAATGTATTAGGCAAGATGTAGAATGAGCTTCTTTTGGGCAACTAAAGAGAGTTGCTTCAAATTAAAGTTGGATATACACAACTTTAGAATTTCAAACCTAGATCAATTTCAGAACGTTCGTTCGATTTTCTAATCGTTCAAGCAGTGAAATCGATCAACAATTTCGACCGCAGTGATAAAAAAAATTTTAAGGAGCATGTTGGAAAACGTTCCTCGAACGATCGAAATTCTTACAGTGAATGTGGTTTTCGTTTGGAAAACCCCATTCGTTCCAAAACCAAATGTTAAATGAAAACGAAAATCAAAGGAAATTTTGAATGACAATCACTAAGTCTCTGATGCCAGTATTGAACATTCCGACAGAATTGTTTGCACGAACATTCGTACCCGTGTATACTTTACTTAAGGGCTTGTTCACACCGAAAGCGTGTGCGTTCCAGAGCGGTAGCTGCTGGAACGCACCGCGATCGCTGAGAAACCTCCCCCCGTGTTCGGTGTAAACAAGGCCTAAAGCTTAGCTCTGTCAGCTCTATATTATGCCCGCTGGGGAGATTTCTCTCACGTCCTGGTAATTACATGGCCATAGTAACAATAAAAACACATTTTTCGTTAAAAATTTACATAGCTACAACAAAATCAAATTTTTAGTAAAAAGAAGGAAAGAAGGTTACAACCTCTGGTAGCTTTCTTGCTCCTTCTGTTGGAGATTTTCCCTTACTTCCTGTCTTAGTGACATAACTGTCAGCAGGACAGGAAATCTGTGCCACAGGGCCACCTTCTCTTACTTTTTTCAAAACTCAAAAAAAAAAGTTTGGGCTGGAGTTACACTTTGGATGGTGCCTGTACTTTTAAATGTCTTGGGTGACGGTGTCATAGTTTGCTAACCAGACCTATGACGGATTTGTTTTGGGTTGTGAAACACAAAATCAGATCTTTTCATTTGCCACAGGATGTCATGTGTCCACTAATGACACTACAGGGCCAGTTAATAAAATATGGCTGCTGTTTTACTCCAAGCAGTTTGGCCTGGTTGCCCTGATCTCCATAATGGTATTCTGTGCATAGACTGCCTGGGATTTGGCGAGCACGGAGCTAAAGCCAGAGCAATGCCAAATAAGGAGACTTGCTAGGGAGATATCTGACTTGAAATGTCTGCTTTCTGTTCACAAGGCACACTGCCTGCTGACTTCCTTTTCTTACTCAAATCTCTGGAAACATGGCCAGCTTTTCTGTTTTGGGGCTGAAACTAGTGTCTCGTTTTAACCATTTTATTCCTCTTAATAACAGTTAGCTTGTGTACTGTTACAGACGTAAGTTATTCTGCAGGGAAGTTGTGTAGGTCTTAAGAATCCATGTAAAAGAAATGACTATAAATAATCCTTGGAGGGCCGTAAACAGTTCATTTAGTAGTGTGAGCATTTTGTTTTATGAAAATGGCATGTTACAGTAGAAATCTTACTTGCTGCATAAATTGCACCCAGAAGGATGTTTTTTTTAAACAATTTTAGTAACTTTTCTTGTGGCTCCCTTTTAGACACATGAAGATTCATGAGAAAGACCCAAATGCTGCAATAACTACAAGCCCCCCATCCCCTCTAAAAAGGAGGCGGCTGACATCCAAAAGAAAATCCAATCCTGAGGAGGAAGTAGAGAAGGATGACGCACCTCCAGCAAAAAAGGTTCATTCTACTTTCTAAATCATACTTCTAGTGGGGAATAAAGGGGACCTATAGATGCTAGTACTTAAGTAAACATTTTGCAATTTGTTTCTCTTTATTCTTAGCACCATAATGCATAGAAGGCTTCACTATTCTGTTCTACAAATATATCTTTCAAAAATTGATTTTTGAAGTGTCCCCACAGGGTTGGGTGGTATCTCTAAAGTTACATGCAGTCTTGGGCCTCATTTACACGGGCACTTATGCTGCATTCTGGGATTCCTGCCACAAGTACCTACAGATTCTTGCCGCAGGAATCCAAGGTGTCCCGTTCTCATGCGGCCATTGTACCCTTCCAAGTTAATGACAGAGTGACAGTGACTGGATCTGTCAGCGACAGTCTGCATGTAATCGTACATGATACGATTACGATATGATCGTACATGATACGATTACGTGTTGTTTGGGATAGATTGTCGCTGGACGCAAGATAGATGCATAGCTTGCCCTTTCTGAATTTCTTCCTCCCAAAAGTGTTTGCAACACAAACACATTTACTTTGCTGTATCTTTATTTAAGTGTACAAAAGATGGCCGCAATCTACCATGCACTGGCAAATTTTCATACGACTGTTCACACAAAAAAATCTCTTCAGAACATTCGATAAAGCCATCAGAGTTGAAGAATGTTGTTTGAAATTTCATTTGATTTTAACATTCAGTTTTGGAATGAATGGAATTTCTTTCAAGAAAACTTTCCATCTTGCTCGTTCAATTTTTTTTTTTTTTGGTTTTTTTTTCATTCTCCGATCAAAAACAAGAGATTTGACCTCATTAAGTATTGTGTGGCCAGCTTTAGGCTCCCAATGAACTGAGTTTGTTTTTTTTTCTAAAGGTGGTTGAGGAAGTTCAGCATGTTGAACCATTGAAAAAGGCAGAAGATCTCATTCCCTGCCCGATATGCTTTAAAGAATTTCCGTGCAAATCTTCTCTGGACACTCACATGGAGATACATCCAGAAGCCTCTTTAAAGTAAGTTGTCTCTCAGTGTGTCTGGAATCAGAATTTTATCATTCATAATGCTGTCTTTTACTTCTGATAACAGCTGGAAATATACATTTAAAGTGGACCTGTCATTTTAACATAAAGAATATAGACCTAATGTCAATGCTGCTTAGTTATCTTTCCATTAACGTTCTGTAACACAGTGGCAGTAGTTGAGGGGGCAGATGGTCATCACTAGTTTCTGAAATATTAAAAGTAGATAATAAAATACAAACTGTTCAACCGTAGTAGTGTAATAGTGTTATCAGTATATTAATAACAACTCTTCAGCTTTAATATAGACCATTACATTTACTATTTGGCTTCACGCTGCTTTGAGATCTGTAGTGTTATTTCTTATAGTAGGTTACAGATATGGACAGGTAGTGCTGATGGTGATGTGAAACTCCAAGGCTTATGTATTTTATCAATCGTTTACAACTTAAGTAGTTCATACAGTCATCATCTGCTTGCATTATTTTTACCCTGTTCTGGTCAGACTTTATTTATAATGGCCTTAAAGTGGAAATAAACCCTTCTATCCTTTACAGACAAGGACAGCGTCATCTTAGCCTCTATTTATATCATGTTGATCATGTCATGGTGCTGCATATGTGACTCAACTATGACACCAGCCATTGAGGGCTTGAAAGTTTGATTGAGGACATAGGCATTGTAACTGTAACAGTTATCACCAGAGACTTGCCTTGAATGTAACCGTTTTCAGAAACCGTTAAATTGGTGGGTTTATCTCTGCTTCAAAGCGGGACTAAACCTTCTGATACTTACCTCCCCTCCAGGGATATGACATCTGCAAGCTCCATCACCAGTGCCAACATCTTCTCCCCAGCTTCTTCCAGGTTTGGTATCTGTGGAAATCTTGATTAGCCGGGCCGGGATGAAGTAACTCTCCATCTCAGTGTACATTCTAAAGCATCTTTCAAAGAGCATGGTAGAAAGACTTTATTGTAGATGAGGCCTAATATGTCTCTTCAGCAAGAAAGATCTATCCTGCTCACAAGTTTTTAAAAGAAGTGTTAAGTTCTGCTTTAAGTTCTCTTCAGAATATAGGCTTTGAGCACGCAGTTCTGAAGATCAGGCATTGGCCACAGATGGAATGATTTTAAGTTTCAAGCCCTTCGGTACCGCTCTAACTTGACGTGTCCCCTGACAGTGAAATTGTTGCTGCAGACACCAGGACTCCAGAAATATTATTTTGGTTTTCCATGTGCTCTTTTCTGATTGGCTCCTGAGTTATTCTCCAACCTCTGAGCCATTCTATTTGTGTAACTATAATCCCTGTAAATGAAATGTGATATTAGAGTGTAGTGTGTACACCGCTGATCTTGTAGATTTTTCTGCCTGGTACTTGTAGCCACTTTGCTTTACTGGACAATGGTTGTGGTGTAGCCTAAAATTTAAGGACAGTGCAAATGACCGATCTTTTAGAAGTAAATACTAAAAAATGGTCACTACTTTTCTTATTCAATTTTACTCCCTTGCAGTGAGCATGTGTTTTGTGTCCTAAACCTTGCCTTGTGTGTATGTGTTTGGGATGTGTAGCTCATGTCGGATTCTTTTTAGATCACTGCGCATGGGTCAGACCAAAACGGCAACACTGTGTCTGGAATGTAAGTGTGGCAATCTGCCCAATCTATAACCAGCAGCCTTAAAATAGGAATCCCTAATGATATGGTTTCAGATTTGGGAGTAGAGGGAGGTATGTGTGCATGCATGTTTTGATGAACGTTCTTGCATATGTATTTTTATACTGGAGTATGACAGAGGAGGCTTTCACATGAAGATGCACCGTCTGTCTCTCTTCACACTATTGTTCCAGACATTCATTGCACTCTCTCTGGGATGAAGGTGTTCAGTAGTAGAGACATGTCAGACATGTCAGAGCTTTTTCACATTCACTAAGTGTGCTTACTGATATGCAGACACGGCGATGACTGATCGTCATAGAAAAATCTTTTCAGATGAAATAGGATTTAGAAATTCACCTAAACAGATTCTACACTTACAGATGAGTGCAGTCAGCTTAATGTAAATAATCTTGAAATTGTATGCTCATGTCTCATAATTTTATTTCTGCTTAGAGCTGGAATTATGTCTAATCCGACAACTATATTTCTCAATTCATTTGCAGACTGTACTTCCTTGTTAGTAGTGACGCACAGTGGTTGTGCTTTAGGGCATATTCACACTATAGCATTGCACTAAATGCACAGGATATGTGTGTTTAGCACATGGTACCGCACACTAGGTGTGCTGTTGATTCTTAATAGCACCCCAACACCCCCCCCCCCCCCCAACAGGTGGTACCGCAATAATATGAGCTGCAATGCTGTGCAGTGGAAAAAGTAGTGCATTACTATTTTGTCTCAGCCCAAGTCTGTTAGTTTGCTCAGACCATTGAAATCAATATGCTGTCTGTCTGTCTGTCTGTCAAAAAGATATACTGTAAACGCTTTATTTCATTAGTCATAGTATAAATAAAATAGTTTTTAGACTTTTGATATACACATGTTTATTAGTTGGACATGCGCTCTTTTAAGCTATATAGGTGTGTGTGTATGTGTGTATATATATATATATATATGTGTTTCTTGTTGTCCATACTAAACTTGTTTAGTCATAACCCTTGTTTCCACAATCTAGGTCTATAAATTAAATAACATTTGGAAGCTAATTGGTTGCTGTAGCCAACAGGAAATTGTGTATAGTTCCCTTTTAATAATCAGGGTTGATATTTCAACAGTTCAGCAGCAGGGAAAAAGAACTACAATTCCTGATACACAGATAGCCATTAGAGTGACATAAAGAAAGGGAAATGACTTATAGACAGGCTTTGCAGAGTTAACTTAAATTCAAAAATTGTTTGTGTTGGCAGAAGGTAAAAACTGCTAGGCATTACAGTTTATGCCCAAAAAGTGACACAATTAGTTTTGGTTCTAGTCCTGTTATATATAATGTGATGATGCTGGAGCGCTGTAGGCAGAGAGGCCAGCACGGCTCGCTGTGGGAGGGAGCGAAGTTTTCGAGTCGTGTTCTATGCTTTTCTGGCTCTGCGGCTGGAAATTCAGAGTGCCAGCCGCGTCAGTACCATAAGAGCTGGCCAGCTTGTGTTGCCTTTGCCTTCTAGTAGCTGAATGCAATGCAGCTGTTTGATGTCAGTTCACAGAGACAGGGGAGATGTCTCCCATTCAAGCACAGGAGGTGGAAGAAAAGTAGAATAGGCAAGTGAGAATGGAAGTAAATGGCCCATCCTCTGTGATTTGCTAATTGACATACAAAAGAAGCCTGTCGTATAGCTTTTCCTGTGTGCCCTGGGAATTCTGCTTCCTACATGTTTTGTAGTGTACACATTATTAATGAAATAACACCCTGGCCTTCAGAGTATTAGAATTGCCCTACAGAGGAGCTAAATGGGTGTTAAATTGTAGCACCTGGGGACCGTACGTCTGTACTATAACATTAATTAGATCATTAGTTGTCTTCTAAATCCACGGGAGACCTCAGATGTTTCCATTCCACTGTTACGTAACTGTTGCTGTCTAATAGGGATCAGGAAGATAAATAAAATGTTGTGGAGGTATCCTTGTCATTCTGTGCCGTCCACACTGCAACTCCTTCTCAGTATAAAGCACTGACAAATGTTACAAATTGTGGTTACAAATCAAGTCAAGTGTGACCACAGTGGCCATTTTGTCTGTCATCATAGGGGCTCTGTCTGTTGGCAGCTCTTCCATGGCACCCAGGGAAATGTTGTAGATAATAGGGGTCCCTGGTTTGAATCTGGGCCAGATCACTATCTGTAAGGAGTTTGCATATTCTCCCTGTGCTTGTGTGGGTTTCCTCCCACACTCCAAACACATGCTAGACGAATAATGGGCTCCTGTCGAAATTGACCCTTGTACGTATGGCATATGAGATAGGAACCTTAGATTGTAAGCTCCTTGAGGGCAGGGACTGATGTAAATGTAAAGCGCTGCATCAATTTTTGGCGCTATATAAATACACGTAGCAAATCAATAATTTAAAACAATGGGCAGACCAGAAGCACAAATCAAGAACAATTCTGAAAATAGGAAAATGATTAAGTATTACTGAGAAACTGGGCAGAAATGTTATTTTTCTGAAAATTGTATTAAGTTAGACCAGAAGGGGTGGGGAATCCGTGACTTGGTCATGCAGAGAAATAAGATTTCTGTGGAGTAAAGGATCTTATTGACCTGAACTGGCACATTGCTCTGAGCTAAACTGCACACTCCAGAGGAATCGGAGCCACTGGGATAGCCCGTAGGGAGCCGCACATTTTTAAACAGAGGTCTCGGTGTCAAAGGATCATCACTTAGACCGATGAGCTGGGACCACCCAGATAATTTCTAATGCAATCAGCTACCACACTCGGAAAATATATATTAAAACGATTCAGCTAAATTCTGGGCAAATCATGTTTCTTACCAGTGTTAATATGTTCATAAACCTGTTTCTATGAACAACAACTACTTTTTGTTTTCCCCGTTATTATTTGTATAGGTTTTTGGGTAGGAAGACGCCGGTTGAGTCGTATGAGGCAGCAGATGATGTGCTGAGCTAAGATGCTGAGCACTTGGCTGACTGTAGGATACTAGGATGGATTTGCTGCGACCTGCCTTGTCATTGAAGAGCAGCTTAAAGACAAGATGCAGGGAGACTTGTTGGGGATGGTTGGCTTGAAGTAAAGTGTCTTTGTGACAAGGACATTTCCAAATGTTTCTCACTGATGTCTTTCCATGCTGGTCTGCAGTTTGGCCTTCTGAGTTTGAAGACACGTCAACAGGTGTTGAGTGCTGGCCTGAAAGGTTTTTTATTACAAGCCTCTAGGTATGGCAAGGATTTGTTTTCCTTTTGTGGCACCCCTTGTGGGAAAGAGGACTCCAAGAATGATGCTGTTTTTAGTCTTGGGGGATGGGGCTGGTGTTGATAGAGAAGACTTGTAACAGAACTAGAAGTACTAGTCGAAGCAAAAACAAATACTTTGCAACCTAAATCCTCAGTTTTAGGAAGAGGAGTTTAATTCCCAATGATAAACTCTATTGCATTATGACAATTACAGCAGCAATATAATATTACACTTAACTCTAGATTCTTTTTGCAGTATTTGCATTATTTTGTGAAGCATACATTCCCTCTCACGTTTAATTCTTCCGTTGTACGGCAGTGTAAAATATTTTGGCCTGCAAACAAGTTGAAGCAGATCTTAGTGGTACATTATGATACTATGAAAAGGGCTACTTGTTTACTTTTCAGTTAGGCCTGGTTTATGCACTCCAAAAATAGATAGTCCTGCGGTCTATGAGGCCGACTACCTCACTTGCTGCCAACTATAGCAGTGAGGCCTAGTTTATTATAGTACTATAACACACTATAGAGGCATGTGAAAAGAGCAGTTCACTCAGCATGACCCTCATACATGAACAGCAAGCTTTGACGGAAAATATCTGTTTGTGTTATGAACTGATGGCTCAGGTAAACTGAGGTTTCTCAAATGTATCCTTGCATTCCACATTGTGATAGGTAAAATAGATAAGATTCTTGTCATATATGTAATAAGGAATCAACACTTAAACTTGTGTTTTCTTCTTGTACACAGGAACAGAAATGATGCATTTAATGCCAATTCACTAACATTGTTCCATTTCAGCTCTATGAAGATCTTGTAAACTCAGGAAATAAATAACAAATATGAGGGCTGCTTTTGCTGACCTCTCTATTTGAAAATGCTAGTTGCCTGACTGACATGTGCATCCTCTGGCTCCAGTACTTTAAATTGCTCCCTTAGAACATGTATGCAGATTAGCATAGTCAATTAAAAATGTAGGCCAAAGGCAACCAGGCAACTAGCATTTCAGAAAAAGGTTAGTAGTAGCAGTCCCCATATTTCTCCGGTCAAAGGGCTGTTTAAACTTAGCTTAAAAGAGAACTATGAGGTAAGTGTTTTTCCCCATAGTTCTCTTAAGGGTCATGGGAGGACATATACTAACGTGCTCCCGTGATCCTAAGCTCAGTATATCGCGAGCTACAGCTCCCGACATTACTGTAGAGATCCACCCAGCTGCTTGAGTGACAGCTAGCTCTTTCTATCTAGAGGCAGAGGCAGAGCCAGCTGTACCTGCCCCGTCCGTTCCTCCAGTCAGCGCTGGAGGATCGAAGAGGGGAGGGGGGGAATCCCTGCAGGGAGCAGTGACTGACGGCCACAGCTCTGCAGGGAGATGATCGAGAAGTGAGCAAACAACGGTATGTGTTCGCTCACTTCCCGATCTATTGAGCCGACGTGTGACAGTTTCATTGTCACAGGTCGGCTCGAACTATGAGGATGAGTGATTTTCACTCACCTCATAGTTCTCCTTTAATTCCTATTTTATAAAAGCAGTGTGTGTGTGTGTGTGTGTGTGTGTGTGTGTGTGTGTGTGTCCGCGCAGGGTCTTAATTGTAATATTTCAGTTGAAGGAAAAATGTGGTTACTCCTTTCTGACATTTTTGTTTTGTTTCCTATTTTGCAGGTGTGACATGTGCTGCATTTCATTTCGCACCCATCGAGGTCTGCTGCGCCACAATGCTGCAATCCACAAGTTACTCCCCAAAGACCCTTCAGGGAAGCCTTTTATTCAAAACAACCCTTCCATCCCTGCAGGCTTTAATGATTTGGGCTTTACAGACTTCTCTTGCAACAAGTTCCCTATCATTTCTCAGGTAATGTCGCAAGCGTTTAAACTCAGACATTACCATCAGTATTCTCCTGACTGTTATGCTATTAACAGTTTTGAGGCTAAATATTTGTTCTGTGTAATCTCAGCATTGTAGAAGATAAAGGTCAATACTTGGAACAGGGCACGCAATAAAAGTAGCCATCCTTTACAACTTATGGAACTAACTTTACCACCTCTATAGTTCATCGGGTAGTGACAAAAATAAAAACTGCCTGCAAAAAAAGGAAGCAAGACATCCTATACATTTAAGGGAATCAAGCCTTTCAGAGAATCATAATTGTGGGTTACTAAGTAAGTTTATTTTATATAAGCCATAGCCACATTAACAGAGCTTGGGGTTTCTAAGTGATATTGCCATAGTGAAGAACAATCTCTATATTATTACACAAGTTATCTTAGTGAATATGTAATGTATATATTACTAGTGATTTATAAACTCTGCACGTCATCCCAAAGTGTAACTAACCTGTAAATGTATATATTGATCACAAACACGGGTGTTAGATCTCCATTCTTATAGAGGCAACTCGAGGCAAACTGCTTTGTATAAAGCTAAAATGTATGTATGTATGTACATTTATTTACCTTTTAAACTAGTGGTCGTTTTATTCAGTCATTTTTATGATGGAGGCACCCTTTCCATATGTAACAGCCAAGTTGGCAATATCACATTGTTCATTGCAGTTAAGCTGTACTGCTTGGAATCACCTTAACCTGCTAAGTGAACAGTGAAGGAGCATCACTGCACAAAGGAATGCATCTCTCTGCTCTTCTGCTTTCTTCTCTTGTTGGAAAAACCCTATTGTTAGATTGACAGAACTATGCAATGCAGTAGAGCCTGACTGACTAGACTGGGAGGGAGAGATGCACTGTTAAAGTCTTGCTGTGTTACATGAAACATATATAACGATAGATTCAGTTCTTCAACTTGGATATGTACCAACTGCATAATAAAATCAACTTGTTTTAGTCCATTAATGCCCATTAATGGGCCCAGGAGTAGTAGATAATCTTAGACAAATGGGGTTTCTGTACCCTAATGGACATTGTACTTCTCAAACCCTGAGACTCCCGTTTCCTATGATAGTGGGACTACTGAGGACTACTATGCTGTTTTTATTTTCTTCCACTTCTTATTCCTACAGAGTCTGTGCCATCAGGTATGATTGCACCTATTATGGTACTTATCTTTCCTCCAGTTTATCTCTTTCCTGACAGAAGTCTCAATCTACATGGTTGTCAAACATCAGTTCCTATTATTCCTTTCACGCATATGGAAGCAAATGTACAAATATTATACCTGTTATCTAAGCCCAATCAGTACCCAGAAGCAGATACTGTTCCCTACGATCCTTATCTGCTCCCTGGATACTTTGCTGTTGACTCTTGCAGAGTCAGAAAGGGGGGGTTGCTTGAGAGTTACTATCAACTCTCAAGCAACCAGAAACTACAGTTATCCAGGACCTACTGATCCCTGTGAATGCTGGATAACTGGAAGTTTACTGTATTACTCAGTTTCCACCTCTGTTTTAGTAAACTATGAATGGTCCATTTTCCACTTTGAGGTCCATAGTAAGGACTTTTCAGTCATTGAATTCTTCTACATGTAAAATGATTTTCATGTTGCTGAATTTCTCTGTGGCTATTGTTAACTCCTCAGTTGGACAGCTTTTGGAAGTCCCATTGGTCCAAGATTATCTACTCTTCCTGTGTCCTCTCAGTAGTAGATAAGAAAAAATATGATTTTTGTACTTACCATAAAATCTTTTTCTCTGTGTTTTTGACTTTATGCCCCTCTTGCTCACAAAACCGAGGCAGGGTTATACAGGGGGCTGGTGCAAATATTCTTGTTTGCCAGTGCCCCTGTCTCGTGTGGTCTAAGATTTATTTACTATTCCTGTGTCTCTCAGCGGACTCTTAAGAAAAACATTTTACAGGAAGTAAAATACATTGCAATACCGTATTCTGTCTTTGAGTGAAGCCAAATGTTATGTTAGATTTACAAAGTTCCTATACATCCTAAGCTTGATATACCATTTGTCTTGTTTTCATAATACAAAATTGATCATTATATGCACTATATAGGCTGTTTGGATACTTAGGGCACTTCTCATACAGTGACAACAGAGGGCATGGAGGCAAACTGTCATATGCAACTTTGACAGCAAGTCCTAACATCAGTTTTACTCAAACCATCTGTCATTCACTGGACTGTAAGCAGTTCATAAGTTGGCTGGATTGGTTTAAATCAATTTTATTCCCAAGTAATTATTACTAATTGCTTGGGCATCAGGAATGAAGCTAATCTCTGGGAGGGGCATGTTTTGGATATACTGCTGTTCTTGCACTAAGCTGCTATTTAAAAATGGAGAACAAAAGAAGATGGTCAGCTGTGTGTTTTGAGCAAAGGGCTAGATACGGTGTATCACAGCAAGACATGCAATGCTCTTTGGGTTTCTATAGCAGTAAAGGGCTTATCATCCTAATCCCCAGTTCACAAGGCTTTAGATGGCATGTGGACAAAAAAGAAAAAAAAAAATACTGGTCTGCCCTTAGACCCAGATAGACATTAACCCATCCACAACCAGAATAAGACATCATATCTCTAGACCTAAATATGCTTATGTCAGTTCATGTCATGATAACACTGGATGACCGTATAACCAAATTCAAATCAATGTGTGTGTGTGTGTGTGTACATATGGTATGTGCAAAGGAATGTACTGTATATGTATCTGACAAATATAGTATGCATATAGTAAATGATTTGTTTCAAACAAAATACTGAGTTGTCCCTTTTGTCTATGCCCTAGGTCTGGTGTGAAACCAACTTACGTAGATGCATCAGTGAATTGCACAGTTTCGTCTGTGAAACCTGCAACAAGGCATTTCCAATGCCATCTGCTCTCAAACTGCACATGAAAACCCACAAAAAAGATCAGGTAGCTAATGAGCACAAAACTGAAGACTCATTTGAGGATAGTCAAGACCAGAAATCTTTTATGGCAGCCTTGGGTCTGCAACACACCAAAGACATGAAGCCAGACAGTCAGGAGGATAATTCACTGGAAAGTGCCCATGGTTCGCATAGTGAAGCTATGAAGAGCAGCCTACCTCGTGAGCTTGGTAGCAGCACAACCATGCTGAAGTTATCCCCCATAGAGGCATCTTCTGTGGGTGGACCTTTCGCAGTACTGCCACCAACAAGAGAGAACCTAAAATTACTTTCTCTGCAGCCTTTTCAAAAGGGCTTTACTGTACAGCCTGATAACAGTATTGTAGTAAAACCAATCTCTGGAGAACTAGCTGATATTCAGCAAATATTGAAAATGGCTACTTCTGCATCTTCTCAAATCAGTCTTCCACCCATGTCTAAAACGTCTCCTGCTGCTTTCAAACATATGCCACCTCTTAAGCCAAAGCCACCAGTGACCCCTCGTATGGTTGTAGCTGCCTCAACACCGCCATCTGTAGTTGCAAATCAGCAGGCTTCTCCAGGCTGTATCAGCCCAAGCCTTCCTCCCCCACCCCTAAGAATAATAAAAAACATAGTGGAATCTTCCACAAGCGCTATATATTTGCAATCTAGATCTGGAGTGACCGGCAGTTCCTCTGCTCAGAATTCCCAAGTACCCACCTCCGAATCTTTGAGTCAGCAAGACCTGAAGACTCAGCTAGAGCAGGACAGTATTATAGAAGCCTTGTTGCCTTTGGATTTGGAGGCAAAGATCAAACAAGAAGGAGCTGAAGGAGATCAGAAATCATTTATCCCTGGATCAAATGGCAAGAAAACAACCCAAGCTAAAAAAGTATTGTATCCTTGTAGTTTCTGTGACCAGGTTTTTACATTCTCTGGTGTTTTGAGAGCTCATATACGTACTCACTTGGGGATTTCGCCTTATCAGTGTAATATATGTGACTATATTGCAGCTGACAAAGCAGCACTCATACGGCATCTTCGAACACACAGCGGTGAAAGGCCATACGTATGTAAAATCTGTCAGTACCCTTTTACTGTTAAAGCAAACTGTGAGCGACACCTGCGTAAGAAGCACCTAAAAGTCACCAGAAAAGATATAGAAAAGAATATTGACTATGTATCCACAAACAAATCTGAAATGGTTGATGCTCTCTGTTCTCCAGATACTGTTTGCAAATGCTGTGGAGAGGACTTGAAAAGCTATCGCGCACTTCATATACATATGAGGAGCCACACCAATTTTCAGAAAAAGAAACCGTTTCACTGCAAAGAATGTGGCACGGCCTTTTCTGCCAAAAGAAACTGCATTCACCACATTCTTAAACAGCACCAGCATCTACAGGAGAAGGAAATTGAGAAACATATTTTGTGTCAGTCCTTTAGTCCAGAGCAAACTAGATCAGACACTCCGCTTTTGGAGGATAGCACTTACCTCGATCGTAAAGCGACCACATCTTATGTGGAACCACAGAATGGATTTCTTCATGGGGGAATATCTACTTTTAAACTTGAACCTACTGCCAGTTTTCCTATGGAGCTTGATGAGCCCTTGGACTTTTCTCAAAAGAGCAAGAACCCCATTGGGTTCCATGTGAAAGAGGAGAACATGTACAACTCGTCTCTTGCCTCCTATGATTCCTCCATGGAACCTATTGACCTCTCTATGCCTAAACAAATAAAAAAGGACAAAGATAACTCGCAAGTACAAGCAAAAACACAGGAGCAAATGAGCAGCCCCATTGGACAACTGTACAATTGCCAGCCATGCCCATTTCCCATAAGTGCCAATGAAATCCTAGAAAAAACTGCAACTATTACACATTCCAAACCAGTGAAAACCCCTGTGCATTTGACTGTCCCAGTCATTTCTCCCGCTGTTCTTGGAAGTGCAACTATCCTTCGCCCATTGAGGCCTAAGCCACCTCCTCTCTTGCCAAAGCCTCTGGTCTCAAAAGAACTGCCACCCCTGGCTTCCATTGCACAGATAATTTCTTCTGTATCCTCTGCTTCTACTTTACTGAAAACGGACGTGACAGCCACTTCTCAGGCTCCTGCCAACTCATCAGCCACTGACAAACCTGTGGCATCCAAGGCGACAATCCATCAGAAAGAACCCATGGTTTCCATTGATGCGCCTCAAACTAGTAAAACCTCTGCAAGCCCAGCTGACAACAGTACAGCTGCTGCTTTAGTCATAGGAGCAAAGAAAAGAGGCCGAAAGAAAGGAACAAAAAATAAACCTAAAATGCCTGCTGGTATAGACCTGGAATCAAGTGGTGAATTTGCAAGTGTGGAGAAAATGTTGGCCACAACCGACACCAACAAATTCAGCCCTTATCTGCAATCCACTGAAGACATTAAAGATTCTATGGACAAAAATGGCACCAGTGAGGATGAGAGAGATAGTGGTGAAGAAAAAAGGGGAAAGCGAAATTCCTACTCTAACTCCTTACAAAAAATAACTTGCCCTTATTGCCCACGTGTTTTCCCCTGGGCCAGCTCCCTGCAGAGACATATGCTGACTCACACAGGTAAGACATTCTGGACTGATACAATGCTTTTTAGGCATGTGGTTTATTTAAATTTGGTTACTCCGATATAGTGACTGACATTAACTTATACCAAGAAATAATTTGATTGCAATGCTAACATCTTTTTGCAAATCCTAGCTATCTGGCTGTCACAATGGTCCAGTACTTGCGTGCATGCAAATAAGGATGTCTGACTTAAAGCAGTGATACACCCACTAATTGAACTGACATCCAAAATGGCTACATTCAAAGCATGCCTCTGGCAATACAGGCACAGAGGGTACTGTGCTTATATCCATTCTCAACCAAACTGGTCACATTTCGAGCACCATGGCAACCACAGATGTAAATAGAGGCTAAGATGGCGTCGTCTTTAGCTGTAAAGGGGTTTAGTTTTGCTTTCATTTCCTGCATACTGTTCCATGTCAGTTACTGCAAATGTACTAAAGCCAGAGCCATGTTAGCAGTGCCAGCCTACATATTTATCTTCGATTATACCAATGCAAGATTTGTGTATATATGTTAAAACATTTTTTGTTAGCACATATTATGTCTTTTAGTTGCTTTACATTTTACTGGTTTCATTTGGGCCATATGTGTTTCAGCATAAAAAGATTCAAAGGAGTCAATTAAAGCTAGTTTCCAGGAAAGCCGCTAAATACGCAGTTCAAATATTTATATTTCACCTTCCAAATTCTTGTAATTCTTGCACCCAGTCTTGTGATCTGGAACCCCTGCCATACAGAACAACCAGATCCTCAGCATCCACTGCAGCAGCAGAGCTTGGTCAAGGATACTGGTAATACATACAGCCAGCCTGCTGACTGGACAGTGAAGGGGCTGCAGCACACTGATAAAGCCATCCATGTTCCCTGACAGCACATGTGCATGCAGGATAGTTTTATTAGCTCCTAGTGCTGCCAGCCTGCTGACTGGACAGCAGGCTGGACTGAAGGGGCAGCAGCACACTGATGAGGCCATCCATGTTCCCTGACAGCTCAGGGGCATGCAGAATAGTTTTATTAGCTCCTAGTGCTGCCAGCCTACTGACTGGACAGTGAAGTGGCAGCAGCACACTGATAAAGCCATCCATGTTCCCTAACAGCACATGTGCATGCAGAATCATTTTTTGTAGCACCTAGTGCTGCCGGCCTGCTGACTGGGCAGTGAAGGGGCGGCAGCACACTGATAAGGCCATCCATGTTCCCTGACAGCACATGTGCATGCAGGATAGTTTTAGTAGCTCCTAGTGCTGCCAGCCTGCTGACTGGGCAGTAAAGGGGCAGCAGCACACTGATAAGGCCATCCATGTTCCTTGACAGCACATGTGCATGCAGGATAGTTTTATTAGCTCCTAGTCTTAGTGCTGTTGTGCAAAGGATTACAGGAGTCTAAAGGTGCCCGTTCACTGCTCGATTCTCGTACGAGAATCGGGCGAAATCCCGCGATCGTACGAGAATCGAGCAGTGTGAACTAAGACGTGCGACCGTTTCTACTGTACGGTCGCACGTCTTTTGTCGAGCCAACATGTTCGAAAACCTAGCCTGCTCGTCCGATAGCTGCGGAACGGGCCGGTGTGCGCACTGCCCGTTCTGCATTGCCGTCATCGGAAGCCCGCCCCTCAGCGGGGCGGGGTTTTGATGATCGCAAGTACGATCTGCCCGTCCAAGGTGGGCAGATCGTACGGGCTTTCAAGAAGCATACGACCATCGCAAGACAAAAGACATCTTGCGATGGTCGTAAGGTGTATGGGCACCTTTATATCAAGACCTCCCACACTCCAAAGACATGCTGGAAGGTTATTTGGCTTCTGTCTAAATTGGCCCTGTATGTATGCATGTGAGATAGGGACCTTAGACTGTAAGCTCCTTGAGGGCAGGGACTTATGTGAATGTGCACTATGTAAAGCACTACGTAAATTGTTGGCGCTATATAAATACCTGTAGTGAATAAATAAATACACATACTTACACTAGGTGATTAGTATTGCCAGAAGTCTAGTACCATGTGTGGACTCCATGAGTTTCTATCCCAGCTTTCACAAGTGACATAGGTCACAGCAAACCTAGGGATAGTCCTCTAAGTTATAATAGGAATGTCTGCTCTTGAACTCTCCCCTCCATTATAGTGCTTAAAAAGAAAGTGTACATAGCCCACATCACATATTCATATTAAAGCGTGCCTCAAAGCAAAGAAATTATGCATTACATAATACCACAACTTTAAAGACTTCCAGTGTGTTGAAAATAAAATCCCTTAAAAATGAACAATCCCAATGTAATTGTATAACTCCTAGTGCAGCATTACAAGACAGTTATGTTTAGGAAAGGTATAGGTCAATCTGCAGTCTGTGATTTACAATGTTGCATCCCCTAAGAATGTGACTTGACAGAAAGCAGCTTTGCCTCGTTCTTGTAGTAGAAGGGGGAGACATGGCTATCCATGTAATTAGGCAAAGTGTGATCACATGACAGCCTGGTAGTACGGACTGGTCTATGTGATCTCCTAATGAAGATTTAGCTGTTAATTAGCAGCAAAACGAACAACTCGAAAGAGATTAAAGCATGGTGTGCTTTTATAATGCTGCTTTTGTGTCCAGGCTAGAGAGGCTCTCTTGTTCTAAAGGGTATTGTTGCCCTCCCTTCTCCCTCCTCTTTTGCTTCAACCCACAAAACTCCTGACTCTTGTGTCCTGTTATTTCCATAAAATTACTAGATAGTGTATTTATCTCCATATTATCAGGTACCTCCTGTCACTGGATCTCTTTCTATGCATTGTCTTGATTTTTAGAAATCAAACCATCAGGCCAACTAAATCCTTTTTCTGCTCCAGGTCAGAAACCCTATCCCTGTGCACAATGCGATGCCTACTTTTCTACCAAATCTAATTGTGAACGCCATCTCTTACGCAAACATGGAGTTGCCAACCTCTCCTTGCGAAGAAACGGTCTGGTGGCCCAGTCTAAAGAAAGTGATGCTGGATCACACGATAGCACAGGTAGCGCTTTCAAAAAAGTGCATTTTTTTTTTTTTGATTCATTATCACTGTGACATGGTCTGTACGTGAAAAGACCTGCATGGCTGTTGTATCCATTTCATGCTGTAATATATAGGCCTACCACTTTGTAGGTGCACAATCATTTTATTGTGACACAAACAATAATTAGGATATGCACTATATAAGGGGGAGGAGCATTCAAGATTAGAACACAAATGTCATAGTGTGAATGTGCTTAAAAATCATTGTGCATGCTCGGCAATGCCTTTTATCATTTATTTCAATGTTCCTGAAGTGCTGTATGTCCTTTTTTAAAACAAAAATATTTAGAAAAGCATTGATCTGCCCATTGAAGGGGATCTCTACTTGACATGCATTTGCATACAAAGTGCTTTACTGCATACATTAAATGTGAATGAGCCCTTTCAAACCTGTCTGATGACATTGAGTGAATACCAGCTTAGCCGCTTGCTTTTTTTTAACAACAATAGAAGTGCGTATTTAATTGATCCATATTGCGATCAGCTGTCTGACACACACACACACACACACACACACACACATTCCTTCAATTGATCAGAAGCTCTCAATATAATTCCACTATGGCCAATTGACTTGCCAGGGCCAAAATCCTTCAAAAGCTCATTAAATTGATTGAATGGAGGGTTTGTGGTTTACGATTCTTATTCAATGTAATTATTTTAAGCTGGCCATACTCCGATCTATAGAGCAGATTCCTCCATCAACGCTACAAGCGTGTTGATCGAGGAATCCCCTGTGTTTCTTTTGTATTCTGACAGCGGCTGTTCTGCTCTGTTCATACAAAAATCTTTCAATCGATTCCCTCGATCAGCTGATCAAGGGATGCCGGCCGACAGCGGCACCCACTGTGCAAATTTTGTCTGATTCCTCTAGAACAGTGTATGACCACCTTTTAGTCTCATTGAATGATTGATTGAATGACCATATCAATATGTGTGTAGCCACCTTAGCGGGATCAAGAGTGAATGAGGGGTTTGTATACTAAATAAAGACAACATCTTAGGATAATAAAACGGATCCTACATAGATACAGTGGTGTGAGTAAATATTGTCACTCTCTAGGATAGAAAATGTGTTATTGATAGGATCACCAGGTGAAAATAAATGAAAAAAAGAAACTAATGCAGCCACCACATCTGAGGATTGGTAACCTTCGATATATAGATACACTTTACATACTTGGCAAGCAATAAAGAAGTTAAATAACTGTAAACTAGTCTTTAACTTTTAGAGCAAATTTGTAAAATATGGCCTTCTCTTTCCTTACAGATAGTCAATCTGATGCCGATTCATCAGCTGTAGAAGCTGATGTGCTAGACCTGACATCTGGGGGCAGAGAGAAAGGAGAGCAAACCGAAGTTACAGAAAGCGAGCAGGTGTCCACGAACAAGCAGACTGAAGAGCTAACACTAGAACTGGAGAAAGACAACCAGGATGAACATGAAGAGATAGAGGATGATGCTGTGAGCAACAAAAGCCTAGATCTCAATTTTGCAAGTAAGCTGATGGACTTCAAACTGTCACCCAATGAGCAGGCTACCGGCAACTCTTGTGATATTTGCGGGAAGAGTTTCAAGTTTCCTGCTACCTTAGGCAGGCACATGAAGGCACATTCGTGTGAAAGCAGTAATCAAGAGAAAAGCAGTGAACATGCATGCAAAGATCCATCAACTCCCACCGGTAACCTGACTAATCAGGATCCCTCAATGGATTCTGAAGACCAGGAAGAGGAGCTGCCAGTTGACCTCAAGGTGTCCAAATCTCCTGTGGAATTTGAGCAAGCTGAACATAAAGCAGTTGGTGAAGGCGTCTCAGAAGACAAAGTCGAAAAGTCTTTCGACAAAAGTGATGACGACAAAGACTCCAAGAGTGAGACCAAAGGGACAAAAGCGGACAAAAGAAAGAAGATATGCAACGTTTGTAGCAAGCGTTTCTGGTCCCTCCAGGATCTCACAAGACACATGAGATCACACACAGGTTAGTGATTCCAAGGGTCTCTCTAGGTACAGAAGTTGAATTGGACGGGCACATTATTAGAATAACTGTTCCTTGCATATTTTGCACAACCAGTGAGTAAACAAGTTCTAAGGTGAATGTGATACACTTACACACAAACCATATGACATCATTAACTATCATTACAAATAACTGTTCTTAAAATACACACAAAGCCCCAACATTTTTGGATAGAGGAAGGAATGGGTAGAATCCTTGCTAGGATATTGTTTTGCTGTTTGTGCCCCATTGGGGAAATTCCTCTTTTCTTTCTGTTCTGGAAACACGAAGGGAAGTGAGAAGAAATCTCAGCAAAGAATTCACTTCTTGTACAGCTGTCACCAAACAAAATGTGTCCCCTCACTTTCTGTACTGGAGACATTGGTCACCTGGACAAATGGCCTATCTATCTATCTTGTGTTGAAAAGAAATAAAAACCTGACTGAGCCGGAAGCGGGTGGAGGCGTAGGTGGCCCTGCTCTACAGACATTGATTGAAAAATCAAAGGAGCCAGGTGGAAAAAAGATGGCCGTACAGCAACTGCAACCAGCTGCAGTCACTGGTCATGTTTTCTGACAATACAGCAGCCAGCAGGGAAGATTTCTCTCCTCAGGGCTGGGCTGAATGAGAGAAATCTTTACATATATGGCCAGCTTAACCTTTCCCTACTCTTTCTAAAACAACATTTTCGTCTTTACATTCCCTTTAAGCTTTTAATGTCCAATGTGTCTTTTTATTGGTTTAATGTATTCGCACAATCTTACCTTCTTGTGCCATTGTTTTAAATGTACGTTCTTGTCTTCTAGGTGAACGGCCTTACAAATGTCAGACATGTGAACGCACTTTCACTCTAAAGCACAGTCTGGTACGCCACCAGCGGATCCATCAGAAAGCAAAGGATGTAAAGAGCCAGTGCAGGGACAGTGATAAAGAGGAGAAACAGCATAGGGGTGAGGAGGAAAGTGATACCGAGTCCCTGCAGAGCAGCACACATCATACATCAGAAAATGAATGTGACACACCATCATGTCTTAACAGCCACGCTGTAACCAGAAGCAAAAAAAGTGCTGCTGAGGAATCATCTCAAAAAAACGAAGCTTCTCCCGGGAATAAGAGCCCAAAGCAAGATGCAGGGGGGGGATGTTAGAGACTCAGACAGTCGAAGAAGCTCCGACCATAAAACTGTACAGGGTTCCAACAGGGAGTCTAAAAAGGCTGCAAATAACACGCATGTGATACCAGAGGGGTCCTTGCCTGTTGTGGGGACAAAATGAGCCAGAGATGTGGAGAGATTTGTACCCTTCCGAATTGCTATGACAGAATCATACTTACACTTGATCCACTTTAAGGAGTTTTTGACAGCTATTGGGGATTATGGCAGGCCATACCATGTGCCATAACCTTACAGTAAAATGCAAACTTTACATGGATTTTGAGTGCCTTACTACTTTATTATATTTTGCTACCACACTTTTTCAATATACAGTTTTATATGTCAGAAGTTTAATGAATTCTTCAAAAGAGGACCTTTTCCAGTAAAGCATTATTGTTTGTTTTTTTCTTTTTACCTTTTGAAATCTTGTACCAGTACACCAATCACTGTCTTTCCAGAGGTGGACATTTAAAGTCATGGAGAAAAGCCATTCAGTACTAAAGCCAATAACTGGAAGAAAAATGAAAACGGACGGAGAAGGTTTCATATAAGACCTCTTGCCCGTTCTTGAACCCACTTGGGAGTCTAGGATTTTTGCTAAGTGGACAGTGGCGGAACGACATTCGTCTGAGACGTGCTGGATGAGAATATTTACAAAACCTCTATGGTAGTTTCTACAACCAGGAAAAAAAAAAATACAGATCTATCGCTTTGAACTGTACAACTTGATCTACACACAATGTATCTGAATGGTGTTACTATTTGGTAGTTCTACCTCGGGATAAACACACAGAGGATCAGTGGAAACTTTACCATCCATGGAACTGTCCACCCCTGCCTATGTCTTGATTCTGTTTGCTTGAATTCAACAGCTTACTAGTCTCTGCATTTTGCAGAACCGTTTGGGCAATATTTGCCTTTCAAAGTTTACCGGGTAACTTTTTGAATCCTGGTAATAATAAATATGTATAAATAGAAAATTCTTGTTTTTTTTTTTTTTTCCTTTAGCCTTTGGCAGTTCTCTTGCATTGCAGCATTCTAACCCTGTTCTCGATGAAAAGAGAGGCCGTGCGCATTAGAGTGAATGCAGACTTTGATGTGTCCTGTCATGGAGGTGGAGGAGGGCAGAGGTGGACTGTGAAAACAAGCAAAGAGTTCTGTCTTCCAGCTTCGGATGCCTTAACCATCATGTCATGACCTTCGTGTTACTTGGGCAGGAATGTACTACTGGTGAAAAGGAGAAGCTACATTACAGTTTGTGCTATGGCGCTTGAAGATGAGCCCTGTTAAAAAAGAAAAGAAAAAAAAAGCGCGTGTAAATAAATATAAACTGTGCGTAAGTTGGTTAGGTATGGATGTGGGTGTGCGTGTGTATATGTATATGTTGCATATATGTTTACACACGAGTACAAATGTGTATGGGTTGAATATATATATATAAATATTCATCGCGTACTCTACTGTAACTGTGCAATTTGCCCTCTGCAGTTTGTTGCAATCTCCAGAAAGTTGAACATGTTAAATATTGACAATTACATTACTAAAGTCCTTATGCTTCCCTCTAGATCTCTTATGATTCTATAGCAGTTTTTTTTTTTTTGCAAACCATAAGGACAAACAAATAAATAGGTCCTGTACAGCCCATCAAAACAAAAGGCTGCTATTACCCCTAGAAGACAAACCATTCATATTTCAACTTGGGTTATGTATACAAGACATTTTTCTATGTAGTGACGCTTTTTGCTGTGTGATGACTGCAAATTAATCGGGCGTTTTTGTGAACTGCGGTCAGCAGTTGAATCGGTCAGTCCATGCAGACCCCATTATATCTAATAGGCTGCAGATCATACAACAGCCAGTAGGGGTCACTGTAAAACAAGCATGTTGTATTGTAAGCGCATAGAAAAATGCAATGTGTATATATACCTTACATCCTAAACATTTCAGCTTTAATGTCTCCTGAGTCCAATTTTTTATTGGCTTTTATATGATACAGGTAAACTAGTAGAAAGATTTCACAGCCGGCTTCTGTGGTGAGTAGTTTGTGCTTGGAGGGAAGCATATTTTAATTTTTCCGACCGCTGCGCCAGTCTTTTCTGAACTTCAGTCAGAATCTAAGCAAACTTGAGAGGGATCATTCAGTATAACACTGTCACTGTTATCTGTGCAATGCCTGACAATCATCTGAATGAACAGAGCAGCAGCTATGGCACAAAATCCAACTATGTGTAAATGAATATATTTCACTAGGAGATGAGCAGTACAAATATGTTGACACAAATGACTAGTTCTGACAGATAAAAAATCTGAACCAGTGGTTCACCGAATATTTTTATTTTTACCAGTTCTTATTGATCAAAATGAATTAAGTAGATCTACGCCTTTTTGAATTTTAGTCTTTTTTTATTTTATATTGTATCTCTCCAGAATATTTTGTATATCTCCAACTTGTCAGAAGAGTGGGACATTGTTAGCAATAATCAAAATGGATTGAAAGCTTTATTTAAATATATTTGTACCCTGATAGATAAGGTCTGTTTTTTTTTTTTTCTTTTAACAGAAAACAATTATCCTTCCGTGTATTATGAGTTGTTCCCAGACTGTTGTGTCACTTTGGTATATTAAACTGTGAAGTATACACCATGATTTAACTCTGGGTGAAATGTAGATTTAGCTTGCATGTTCGGCTTATTTTGTGTCTTTTACCCCTTTTCTCTCGTCTTCCTCTTCTCAGGGCTTTGCAATTTTGAATTTTTCTCTATTGTTATTTTATTTTTATTTTTGTCGTATCTGAGTTTAAAAATAAATTGATAAATATATTTAATAGTTAGGTAATGGAATCACTACAATAAGCACTTGACTGTGAATGCAATAAAGGCCCAGTCACATAGATGGCTATCTTTTTATATAGCTTGGGCTACACAACAGTCGTAATTCCAGCTTCACAATGATTCTTGTTTTTTTCCTTGTTAGCACGAACAACATTTACTGTTGGTGAATACAACCCATTGTTTAAACCGAAAACTACAATAAAATGTAGATATTCATATTTTTCTAAAGGGAAATTAAACTGCTGCTATGCATTATATACAAGACTGGTCTATGCCACATGAACAGAGAATCACTTTTGTTTTGGTACTTGTATTCCTTCCTTTTATTCAGCTGTACAGTACTTCCGAAATCAAAATAAAAAGCTGTTCTGTATCAAACAATCTAAGCAATAAAATGGTATATTTAAAAATGAAAAAATGACGGCTGATGTCGCTTTGTGTACAGTTCTGCTTCCATTTTCTCACACACAGTACACATAGGGCAGAGGTGTCAAACTCAAATACACAGTGGGCCAACATTTAAAAATGCTCCAAGTCGAGGGCCGCCGCTGGTTCACACAGTATAATACCGTGGTCTATACAGTATATCACACAGTATAATACCGTGGTCTATACAGTATATCACACAGTATAATACCGTGGTCTATACAACATACTACACAGTATAATACAGCGACATATACAGTATAATACAGCGGCCTGATACATAATTACAATAAAACATTTTTTATTTACTTTCCCTTAAAGAAGTAGCCTAAATATTTAAATAATAAAAGTCAAAAACAGACATTAAATAGTACAGAGCATTTACAACAAAATAATGTACTTACGAAAAAGTTTTTCCATCTGGTGCCCGCTTCTGTGGATTCTTCCCCTGCTTTCTCTCCTCATTGCGCAGGGGAGATATCAGTGGGGGATCAGGAAAATCATCAATTAGAGATGTTTTAAAAAATAGTTTTATGTCTATTTAAATTACAGTTAAAAAAAAAAGTATGTTGGGGGGATGCTCACAGGGGACAGTGTGGAGTCCATACTGTCCCCATTGAGCATCCCCCCCACATCATTTTTACTATAATTTAAATAATAGAGATCAAACTATTAGATGACATACTAGTGTGGAGGCAGGAGGTACACAGGTGTCACAGATATTACTATCAGTATATCTCTCCACCTCTTCTCCATGACTTCTACAGTACAGAAGAAGTGATGGAGAAGAAGGGGAGAGATATACTGACTGACAGTGTCACAGCACAGTACCTGCAGGCTGCAGCTCTCCCGGCTCTCTGTCGTCTGGGTTGGATCCTGATTCCCGCCAAGGAGCACCTCGCGTCATCTGGACTGGACCTCGGGACCCCCCTCAGTCAATTCACGGCCACACCCCCCTTGTCGCGCTGTGTCCCTGCCAGGCTGCCTGCTGGGTAATGCAGTCCTCTGGCCGGCGGCAGCTCTCCGGCTCCTCAATCCCATGAAGATCGCCGCGGACAGCGTGAGAGAGCTGCCGGCGGGCGGGGCCAGATCTAATGATAATGAATTATCATCAGGGGGGCCAGAGATAATTCCGTCGCGGGCCAGTTGTGGCTCGCGGGCCTTTAGTTTGACACGTATGTCATAGAGTATTGGAGTCACAGAGGAAACGTAGCATAACATGCAAACTGAGAAATTCACCTCACAAATGTGAGATGAAGGGGTAGGCAGCCTCAGCACTCTGCTGTTGGGAAACTACTAATCCTGTCATGCTTTTGTCTCTGGGAGGCATGCCTATGGCTGTCAGTCTTGCAATGTCTCTTGGTGCTTGTAGTTCCACAACAGCTGGCATGCCGAGGTTACCTACCCTTGTAAAGTCTTTCCCTTGGGTAGACCGTGTGTGACTTTATCAGCATCTCTAACTTCATATGTATCCCAGTGTGATATGAAGCCACGATGGGTGAAAACAATCCACTTTTAGGAGCCCAGTGTAAAAACAGAAATAAAAATATAGTTAGGAGAAGTAAGGCCAAACCTTTTTTTGGTTTTATTTCTCTTTTGGGTCACAAGAACATATTTACTAATGTACTCCTGTGACCCAAAGTCAGCCTATAGTAGGCCACTGCCCACTACACTGTGCAGAGCTGCAGCCGAGAAGAATCCCAACCATATTATCTGGATCCATCCGGCCTGATTGACAACTGGCTCTGCCTCTAAAGAGCCAGCTGTGCCCGCCACGCCCCTTCTGTACCTCCAAGGAGTGCTAGTAAAACAGAAAGAGGAGGGGGAATCCCTGTGTGGAGCTATGAATGACCATCCCTGTTCTTTGCAGGGAGTAGTCTGTGAGCTGATTGATCAGCGTTTTTTTCGCTTAGGTCTTGGTATAGAGGCGGTGTGTGACAGCTGCAATTTATACAAACATGTATGGAGGTCTAAGCGGCTCTGACAGTTAAAAGAGAACTATGGGGTAAGTGTGACCCAAAGGGTTCCGCAATAAACTGAGAGCACTGCAGCCAGAACGGATCCCGACAATACTATCTTGATCCACTCAGCTGCGTGAGTGGCAGCGGGCTATGCCTATCTAGAGGCAGAGCCAGCTATGCTCACCCCCTCCCCTGTTCATCCCTCCACTCAGCACTGGAGGATTGGAGAGGGGAGGGGGGAATACCTGCCGGGAGCCGTGACTGATAGTCACCACTCACTGCAGGGAGACGATCAGGAAGTGAGTGAGCGACGGTATGTGCTTGCTCACTTCTCGATCAATCGAGCCGACCTGTGCCAGCTTCTTTGTCACACTCTAACTATGAGGATGAGTGGAAGTCACCTTTAGGCCCAGTTCACATTGAGCGATTTATCGCGCGGTAATTCCCGCTATATCGCGGCTATTTACCGCGCGATATCGCTCTCCAATGCATCTCAATGGGGCTCTGTCTGTAGCTGTCGCGGGTCGTGCGTTGCTACAGCAGGACCCTTTTTGGAGCGGATTTTGCCGCGATTCCATTGTTTGCAATGCAAGCATTTGCGCAATATCGCGCAAAATGCAAATCGCGCAACAAACGCGCGATTTGCGCAGTGTGAATGGGGCCTAAAACACTCACATTTCAAATGTTTATAGTGTATCTAAAATACAGTATGATCTGCCCAGATTCCCAAGGTAATCTAAATCCGTGTGACAGCTGCAGTGTCCCACTTTGGCTTTAAGCATTGGGAAGAGTGTATTTTACCTTCCCAATACTTCTCCTTTAGTCATGCATTCAAATGTTAACGCAAGATGCAATGCATGTTTACACACTGCGCAGATGTAAATAGGGCCTTATTGTGTTCTGAAATACTGCAACAGTATTTCAACTGTCCAAATTCCATCTTCATTTTATCTTCCTACAATCCCTTATGCAGCAGAAATTAAACTTCTAGTAGGAGGTTATGCGGTTTGAACAACTCGAGCTCTATTGAATTGCTCAGTGCCGTCAGTGTAAAAGGCAGTAGGAGGAAGACGAGGGGAGCAGAGAGAAGGACCATGGCAGTGTGATAATGATCATTTATAGTGCAAAGAGCAGGCAGTTAGGTGACCTCACTTCCTTTCTGGGACCACACATAAGGTGAAAGGAATCTTCTCAATGGGTATGTAGACAGTAATAATAACCTGGCAGAGGTTCTAACTAACAATTACATTCAAGACAGATTTGGTTTGTTAGAGCAGCACGGTCTACCAGTATTTTATGTAGTGTGAAGCTTCATAATGCAACATAAATTAAATGGATTTTTTAGGAAGGACCCTTCACTTCATAGGTGTTGGAACAACTCATGTTGATCATAAGTAGAGATTTACCAAAGCTAAAGGTCTTGTGCCATCCTGTGTCAGCCACATCATTCAGACTACATTGGTGGGGGTAGAAGGGTTGACAGCTTCCCAGGCCCTATGCAGGCCACAGCACATAGATCCTTGCTCATGTGAGTATTTGATTTTGATTTTTTTATAGTGCACCTGTCAGGAATAGGGAAAAGTCGAGGTGTTGCTCAAAGCAGCTAGGGTAATTATTCTGTTGGATTACAAGTTTTTAAAGATGGTTATCATAAGCCAGGGGTAGACAACCTTGGCACTCCAATGAAAACAAAGCAAAAGGAGGTCCTCCATTGGGTAACATTGATTTATTGTAGATAAAAGAAACCGCTGAAAAGGCACTCACAATCCAGCCTGTATAAACGACCATGAAGCGATACAATCTCAGGAAAATATCAAGATGAATGTACGAAAATGTGGTAAGGGAAAAACCAGTGCTGGTACTAAGCCGAAGCCGTCTACACGCTACCCCTCCTTTAGTTAACGCGTTTCTGAGAACAAGCTTCTTTCATCAGAACCTTGGCACTCCAGCTGGTGGACCTGCAAATCTCATGAGTCACTGCAAGACCCCGACAGCCACATGCATGACTCCCAGAGACAGCTGCATGATAGGATTTGGATTTTCACCACAGCTGGAGTGCAGAGGTTGCCTACCCTGTTATAAGACACGGCATCCATCTTTTTTTTCTCTTTCTCAATGTTGTAATGAAGTGAAGAACCTATGAAATAAAGGGCTGGCAATGAATCTACTGCAGGCGATATGTAGAGATGGCGACATTAGCTAGAGCAGTCGTTAGGGAAAGATGTACAATGGAGGGGTGCACAGATTACTTAGAGCAGTGGATTGCACTGCACCAGGTTATTGTTTAATATTATGTTATGTTGCTTGATCAGGATGGAACTGAAACTGTCTTGTTCCTTTTGAAAATGGAATAGAGTGATGTAGCACCATGTCTCCTGACTCTCCCCAGATTCCAGGCACAGCGATCACATGACAAAGCCGTGTACTAAATACAGCGCTCTGTCTGCCTGCCTCCCTTTCCTGTTTCTCTGACAGATGGCAAAGGGAAACCAACCCATCTACTGTATGGAATTTCTCCACAGAGTGTGGAACATTGTAAAGTGCCAGGCCAATTTTTCTGTTTTACACACATACTCAGATCATTTATTTTCTGAAAGTAGAGGCCTAAAGAATAAACCGATGGTAGCCATGTTCATTTGGACCTGTCTGATGTGCATTAGGTGCAGTTTCCTGCCTAGGTGCTTACTCAAGCAAGTGTAGGAAAAATATTAGGGAAGACCGACATGGAAAGGGACCTGTAGGTGCTCATAGATCACAGATTTGGCAATAGCATGCAATGCCAAGCAGCGGGCAGCAAAGCAAACAGGATACTATCCTGCATTAAAAGAGGGATTGTAGCAAGGGATAAGAGAATAATACTTCCACTGGTTCAGCCTCATCTTGAGTATGCGGTGCAATTTTGGTTGCAAACTCTCAGGAAGGAGGTCCTCGAGCTTGAGAGAGTTT